TGACTTTGAATCGGGGGAGCTCAAGGCCGTTCAGATTCTTTGCAATTTTTTCCCAGATCTGACCTCTAGAAATGCTTCCTTTCTTGTACTTAAAGGGTTCAAGTACTAAAATTTCTTGGCACAAGCAGTTGTCATGTTCCTCCGTCCACTCCATGTTTGATCTGAAAAATCATAATTACATCTACCTTCAACAAACTTTTGCTCAAACAGACTTGGGTAAATTATTCAATTAAATTTATGGTTTAGCTTTCATTAAGAAGGAAAAATGAGTTGACAACTACTTACTGCACTGTTTTCTTTGAGATCATTTCCACTGAGGCTTATTTGCAGACACGAACTTTCGAAGCTGTTTAGGAGGAGAAAGAAACCAGTCAATTTTCGCTTTTAAACGAGTTCTACTACCTATTTTCAATTGTCACAAGCTAGGAAAAAATTGTCACTTCATTACAAATTGAAAATGTTCGATAAATTCCTTTGAAATGGCCTTAAAATAAGAGAAATTTACTCACGTTTTAGACAAGACGGCAAACACTTCGTTTTGACGTCTCAGACAACACAGCTAAGGCGGGAAACCTCACGCGACGGCTACCGGAAATGCGCAGGCAAATATTTCCAACTTCCGCTCGCCGTCGTAGACATCCGCCGTCGTCGGATCTTAAGGTCCCTAATAAGTACTAATAAGAGACTTCCCCGAAGACGGAGTTTTCTTCAAAGTATTTCTCAGGCCTGCCTTGTTACATCTTCGAGTTTTGTTATTACTATTCATTGTTTTGTTGCAAAATAAACACACTACACTTGTTGAAAATGCTGAAAATTTAATAAGCGCCCAGCCTCGAATAAGCGCCCACCTCGAATAAGCGCCCACTCTCAAAGTCCAAAAATTTAATAAGCGCCCAGGGCAGTTAATCGAATAAATACGGTAGGCAGGACTTTTCCGCGGGTGGGGGGTGGCGGGTGGCGGGTTAAAAATATATATGAAATAAAATATTATAACTCGTTATAGTGTAATTGATATTTATATAACTGTATGTTGTAATTTTAAAATAATTTCAACGTTTATGTACTAGCTACCAGACTCCAAATAAAAGTATTGCCTTGTTTTGTCTTATCTACTTACGCGGACTATTTTTATTTTCTCAAATATGGGAAAAAAAACGAGAAATCATGCACAATAAGTGCATTACAAAATGAGCAAAGTGCTTATTGGAACTCAGTGTGACTTGGTTTCGCCACTGCCGACATGTCGTTATACGAAGTATGTTTTCAAAGTATTCTAGTTAACTAGGGTAAATAATTTGTTCCGTTTGGTAAAGTTTTTACTTTTTCGGTTTATAATGGTACGCATTAACATTGACAGCTTTGTTGTTTTAGTCTCAGGAAAATTTCCTTGTTTTCTCGAAAAAGACCTTTTGCTCATTTTAAACTACAAGTCGGGAACCAAATTGGCAAAGATTTATTCCTCGGGCAATGCAATGTTTATCCCAACTTATAACAAAAGAACAAACGCACTTGTCAAATCTGAGACACTGTTCAAAAATGTCGAGAAGAGAATGCGATCTTACTTGTCTGATCTCAGGATAAATATTACTTTAATTCAAGCTATCTCGTGCATGCGATATCGTGTAGCAGAATATCGTTTTTTGTAATGTTTATTATCTTTTCTCTTTTTTTGTTTCCCACTTTTTATTTTAATTTTTTTTATTTATGACGGCCTGACAATTTGGGCGCGATCCATTCAACCAAAATTTCCGGAAATTTCGGTCCAAAACTCAATGGATCGGTTCGGTCCAACCAGAAAAGTTTCGAAAAAACGGGTCCACCTTTTGAGGTGGACCACTTTTCCCGGTCGGACCGGTTGGAATTTTGGTTGAATGGATCGCGCCCTTTGTCACCCGTCACCCACCAACCGCTACCCGCTACCCGCTACCCGCCACCCGCCACCCGCGGAAAAGTCCTGCCGCAATCAAAGGTTAGCCTGCGAAAACAGCCTCGCTCTCCGCCGCTGGGGACGTTTCGCGTGGAGGAACGTCCTCAGCGGCGAAGAGCGAGGAGAAACGGCTGTTTCGCAGGCTAATCAAAGGTAAGTCTCTTTTATTTATTTTTAAGAAAAACGGCAAAATGTAATGATATTTATCGTCCCCAGACCTCATGTCATACAACCGGTCTCAACGTTCGCCTGTAACGCGACACCGACTTTTGTGAACATGAAGTCCTTAAATTTTTATTTTATAGTTTTTAATCGCCCATTGTATGCTCCATTGAGCGTTTGGGTCTCTTTTGATTACTCATGGAAATGCCAATAGTGTTGTTGTTGTTGTTTTTGATTGCACGGCGCCTGTACAGCATGCCCTGAGGTCAACAAGATTCAGTCATAATTCTGCGGCTTGGGCTTCTTAACATGCAGTACTTCACTGTCGATAGCCTTGGAAGTTGTTTTCCTCTGAAACTTGCTTCGTTAACTCCCAAGGGTGTAAGAGGCTTATAGTCTTATCTTACATGTGGGTCATTGAATTTAATCCGGACATGACGTCGATACGCTTGATTAGTCAACTGCTGACTGACTCCTGAACAACTTCGTTCTGTGTGTGTGTCCTAACATGGCAAGGAAAACTACAGTTTTTCGTCGGAGTTTTGCCCGAATACTAGCGATTACCTTTCTCATTCTGCAAGGTGCAATTCTTGATTATTATCTGATCAATGAAGAACGCTCCATGTGGAGGTTTGCTTGGCTCACAACAGATGCTATCGTGTTTTTCACGTGGGTTTACACAATGTGGATGTCGCACAGAAAATCACGGAGCGCTTTGGCGAAAGATGGAATGAAAATTGCTTACTTCGCATGGATTGTCTATGCAGCACATTTAGTACCACAAGTGGCGACTTTATTAAAGCTCAAAATCGAGGCTTATAATGACGAGAAACATGTTTTTGGACCTAACACTTGACGTCTCAGACAACACAGCTAAGGCGGGAAACCTCACGCGACGGCTACCGGAAATGCGCAGGCAAATATTTCCAACTTCCGCTCGCCGTCGTAGACATCCGCCGTCGTCGGATCTTAAGGTCCCTAATAAGTACTAATAAGAGACTTCCCCGAAGACGGAGTTTTCTTCAAAGTATTTCTCAGGCCTGCCTTGTTACATCTTCGAGTTTTGTTATTACTATTCATTGTTTTGTTGCAAAATAAACACACTACACTTGTTGAAAATGCTGAAAATTTAATAAGCGCCCAGCCTCGAATAAGCGCCCACCTCGAATAAGCGCCCACTCTCAAAGTCCAAAAATTTAATAAGCGCCCAGGGCAGTTAATCGAATAAATACGGTAGGCAGGACTTTTCCGCGGGTGGGGGGTGGCGGGTGGCGGGTTAAAAATATATATGAAATAAAATATTATAACTCGTTATAGTGTAATTGATATTTATATAACTGTATGTTGTAATTTTAAAATAATTTCAACGTTTATGTACTAGCTACCAGACTCCAAATAAAAGTATTGCCTTGTTTTGTCTTATCTACTTACGCGGACTATTTTTATTTTCTCAAATATGGGAAAAAAAACGAGAAATCATGCACAATAAGTGCATTACAAAATGAGCAAAGTGCTTATTGGAACTCAGTGTGACTTGGTTTCGCCACTGCCGACATGTCGTTATACGAAGTATGTTTTCAAAGTATTCTAGTTAACTAGGGTAAATAATTTGTTCCGTTTGGTAAAGTTTTTACTTTTTCGGTTTATAATGGTACGCATTAACATTGACAGCTTTGTTGTTTTAGTCTCAGGAAAATTTCCTTGTTTTCTCGAAAAAGACCTTTTGCTCATTTTAAACTACAAGTCGGGAACCAAATTGGCAAAGATTTATTCCTCGGGCAATGCAATGTTTATCCCAACTTATAACAAAAGAACAAACGCACTTGTCAAATCTGAGACACTGTTCAAAAATGTCGAGAAGAGAATGCGATCTTACTTGTCTGATCTCAGGATAAATATTACTTTAATTCAAGCTATCTCGTGCATGCGATATCGTGTAGCAGAATATCGTTTTTTGTAATGTTTATTATCTTTTCTCTTTTTTTGTTTCCCACTTTTTATTTTAATTTTTTTTATTTATGACGGCCTGACAATTTGGGCGCGATCCATTCAACCAAAATTTCCGGAAATTTCGGTCCAAAACTCAATGGATCGGTTCGGTCCAACCAGAAAAGTTTCGAAAAAACGGGTCCACCTTTTGAGGTGGACCACTTTTCCCGGTCGGACCGGTTGGAATTTTGGTTGAATGGATCGCGCCCTTTGTCACCCGTCACCCACCAACCGCTACCCGCTACCCGCTACCCGCCACCCGCCACCCGCGGAAAAGTCCTGCCGCAATCAAAGGTTAGCCTGCGAAAACAGCCTCGCTCTCCGCCGCTGGGGACGTTTCGCGTGGAGGAACGTCCTCAGCGGCGAAGAGCGAGGAGAAACGGCTGTTTCGCAGGCTAATCAAAGGTAAGTCTCTTTTATTTATTTTTAAGAAAAACGGCAAAATGTAATGATATTTATCGTCCCCAGACCTCATGTCATACAACCGGTCTCAACGTTCGCCTGTAACGCGACACCGACTTTTGTGAACATGAAGTCCTTAAATTTTTATTTTATAGTTTTTAATCGCCCATTGTATGCTCCATTGAGCGTTTGGGTCTCTTTTGATTACTCATGGAAATGCCAATAGTGTTGTTGTTGTTGTTTTTGATTGCACGGCGCCTGTACAGCATGCCCTGAGGTCAACAAGATTCAGTCATAATTCTGCGGCTTGGGCTTCTTAACATGCAGTACTTCACTGTCGATAGCCTTGGAAGTTGTTTTCCTCTGAAACTTGCTTCGTTAACTCCCAAGGGTGTAAGAGGCTTATAGTCTTATCTTACATGTGGGTCATTGAATTTAATCCGGACATGACGTCGATACGCTTGATTAGTCAACTGCTGACTGACTCCTGAACAACTTCGTTCTGTGTGTGTGTCCTAACATGGCAAGGAAAACTACAGTTTTTCGTCGGAGTTTTGCCCGAATACTAGCGATTACCTTTCTCATTCTGCAAGGTGCAATTCTTGATTATTATCTGATCAATGAAGAACGCTCCATGTGGAGGTTTGCTTGGCTCACAACAGATGCTATCGTGTTTTTCACGTGGGTTTACACAATGTGGATGTCGCACAGAAAATCACGGAGCGCTTTGGCGAAAGATGGAATGAAAATTGCTTACTTCGCATGGATTGTCTATGCAGCACATTTAGTACCACAAGTGGCGACTTTATTAAAGCTCAAAATCGAGGCTTATAATGACGAGAAACATGTTTTTGGACCTAACACACTGAAAATGAACCTATGCCTGACGCCAATGTTGTTTTTATTTCTTATATACGCGCATCACGACGCAAAATCGCATTCGCGACGGAAGTATTACTTAGAGAAGATAACAGCAGCGGTTGCCTTGGATTTGTTCGACAGTGTCGAAATGCTTGAATATCTTTTTGACAAGGAAGAGATCTCGCCTGAACTGGAAAATGCCATCTTGGCCTTTTCCTGCATGAATATTTTTCTCCCAACGTTTGCTTTGTTTGAACTGAAGTATAACAAGTTTCATGACAACGGAGAAATTTCGCCGATCTCTTTCAAGTTTATTTACATTTGTAGTTTTATGTTTTTCGTTAACGTCCCTTTTTTGGTTTTAAGGCTGATTTTGTGGCATGGATATCACTTGAATGTCTCTGTGTTACTCGCGAAGAATTCTCTGGCCATTATCATGGGACTGATAGAGATATTTGAGTTCTTTAGCGATCAAAGACCGAGGAGATGTCAATCGTGCACGAAGACTTTTGTCAAAGAATTCTACAAAAGGCATCTAGATACTTGTTCATTTCCACCGGATCAAAATTCGAGATTCATAGTGTTTGAAGAAGAGAGAAACAGAAAAGAGAAGGAAATTTCTAAACTCGATACTATCCGCGTTACTGAAGAACGAGATAATTTGCTTGATTCTTCCAAGAGTAATGAAATTTCCTTGAAAACTACCTCAAAAGAGACTGATGTTTAATCAAAGAAATAACCTTATATCGAACAGCTTAAGAAAAACTGAAAGAAACAAAGTGATAAAAACAAAAAAATTTAGACTGACACAAGAGGTGATATCAGTGTGATATGAAAAACAAACAGCAGGGTGTTTAATCGGTTGGTTCCAGCTGCCAAAGTGACTAGCAATTTGCACAGATTACAATTAGCACAATTAGTTCCATATTGCGAGCCTTGTTGGAGCTATGGAAAATGAGAAATAGGCATCCATATCAGGATGATATAATTGCATTTTGTTACAAGACAAATTTCTAATCAAACTCATGAGACCGGGATTTATCATTAGACCTACTGAATTGTCTTGTCTGATGAGGCATATATAGCTTATGCTGTTACTAAGGGATCAATCTTGAGTCCTTTACTGTTTTTAATTTACGTCAACGACTTTCCCAATAGGCCATTTTACAGTTGTGGATGGAAGCGAGGCTGAAGGTGACCTTGTTTTGATACAAACCTTCCTGCTTTATTATGTACATCAAGTCATTCTTATGCTTACTAGTATTTTTCAAGAACAATTTCCATAACAAAGCAAAGCAGGTTTGTAACAAAACAAGGTCATCCTCAGCCTCGCTTCCAACCATAACTGTAAAATGGCCTATTGCCTGCAACCTTCTGCCCCGGGTTTATATGCAGATAATACCTGTGTAACATGATAAAATAATTGAACGGGGGAAGAGGAACGCAGACTTATTTCCCGAACGCCGGCTGATTATCGAGGTTAAGATTACAGTAAAAATATATATTTCTCTTTTTTGCTTTTCAGCTCTCTCTGTTTTTTGGCTTTAGTTTGTGGTCTCGGGGGTTCATTTCATTCATCGTCTGTAGTGGTTCATGGTTGTTAGTGTATGTTTGTCGCTGTAGGGGATTTATGACATGTTTGGAGAAAATAAAACAGATCTGATGGAAACTAGTCAGTGTTTCTAAGTGTAGTCAAAGTTTTCTAAGCTTTTATTTCGATCTAAGTGTAGGTTTTGTCAGTAATGCATGGGTCCCGGGGGATATGCTCAGCATTTTTACAGAGAGGCTCCTCCCCGCGAGGTTCAACCCCTTACCTTTCTATGTACCATAATAGGGGTAGAGAGGGTACTGCTTTTGCATATACTTTCCACTGAAAAATTGAACCGGAAATTGAAGAAACCTGTCTGTATAGGTTCAGAGACCCAGGGAGGAAAAAAACTTTTCCACAAACAAAAAGGATTTTAGAAATAAAGAAAAGCTAAACTCCGCAAAAATTACCTCTACGGATGAGAATTTATAGTTTTATATAACAATTTTAATTAAAAGTTTGACGAAGTTGTTTATTACCGGAGAGAAATCGACTCGAGAAAATGAGTACGAATCAGTGTTGAATTGTGCGACCAAAGTTTTGTTGCTGACAAAAATCTCACGATTTCTCTTTATTTTTGCGAACGTGACTACTTTTTGCCTAAAGATTTCTTGTAATCTAGATAATATCAACAAGGTGATAAGAATTAGTGAACTGAAATAAATTTTGATGACTTTCAATTTTTGCTCTCCTTAAATTAATTAATCTTCAAAGTGAAAATTCAATACAACTCTTCACTCATTTAATTAAGTATTTCGCGTCTGTTTGCAAAGGCCAGCGTTGTATTAATTCTGAAGGAGGGCAAAAATTAAGTAGAGTGAAATGATTCTAGCGGAAGCGATAAGTGTTTACACTGGAAAAGATTCCAGAGATGGATGTTGTTTCGTAATTTTAGTCCTATCGCTGCAGTGTCCCAACAATTATGTTAATCACGCATCGCTTCCGATTATAAAATCCGGTTTTTGGGCCGTTACATTGAAATAGGATATCCAAATCCACCTCACAAAAGCTTTTGCTTTTATGTCAGTTTTAATCTGAAATCAGGGGTGCCTTTCATAATAATTATTCTTATTTTTTTGTTGATATTTTAGCATAAAATAAAGGTTAATGTTGGCAAGCAACAACTATTGAGCCTGCATCGCTACTGCGGTTTATCCCAAACACGCGATCTCCTTATTTGGCAGCCTGCCTCTTTGTCTTATTCTGCGCCAGTCCGTTCAATCGCCACTTTCTTTGAAGGCTGCAAGTTGAGCAGCACCAAAGTTTTTTCCCCTCCCACCCTCCCCTTTTCTTTGTTTCTTGCCTTCCTTAACCTTCTTACATTTGTTCACTGCATTTGCACTCTCTCTTGTCTGTAGATTCAGAGACGTTTAATAAAATCATTAAGGGCGGGGAATTGCTGCCTGCGGCACCCCTTCAGCCCTGTGCTGAAGCCCCGTCAGGGAGGGGGGGCTATAGGATTTGCTGGACTTGGTTAACTTGGCCCAAGGACATTATGCCGGCCATGCGTTTTCACGCGTGAACTATGCCCTCCCTTGCAGTACAGGCATGAGGCACCCCCTCGGTATGGCGCCATGTACCGAGGCCCCTCATTCGGTCATCATCCGGTCGGTGGGTTTTATCCGAGCCTTGCGGGTATATTCCCTGCCCAACTTTGCCCACCAAAGAATATTGTGTTTTCTCTGTGTCTGCGCGCTGTAACATTAATTTGCAAATTGAGATCAAAGAGTGGATGAAATTATTCTGTCCAAAAGAACATTATAGGTGGTTCACTTCAAGAGGCTCTCCCATTTCACTAGCCTCCCCGCAGACGTCCTTTGGGGTTCGTTTGTCACGCATTCATTTCTCCAAAGGACGTCTGCGGGGAGGCTACCATTTCACAGGTCCTTTTGCTCCAACTATAGTTGGTGAGTGGCGTACTGTTGAATGAACCAAGATTTAGTCACTAATATTCCTTGTTCCTAGTGAAAATTTATCGACATTTGTCGACCTTTTCCATAGCACTTTGTCGTTCCAGTTTTTCGTCTTTTTTCTTCTTTTTTTGGGTCACCGACCGGTCTCCGACTAGTCAGTCTCGAATTAGACATAATAGAAAGCACGTCACGTTTGATAATCTAATCTAGTTAAGAATCCTTTCGCTTCCTTTTAATAATTTCTTCTGTAAAAGCACTCGGGTATTGGCCAAGGCCTTTAAGGAGGAAAAAACGCTTTTAACATAACTCTTTTCTTTTATGGGGTAGGTTTGTTGTCTGATTATGACTGACTTTAACTTCTCAGTTTTACATTAACCTCCTGCAAGCTGCATCTATCTTGAGTTCTATACTCTAACTGGAAGTGAATTTCAGCTACTTGTTCAAATTTAAATCGAAGGTTGCAAAAAATCAAACAGACTCCCATATCAAAACCAAAGTATCATATTATCAATATCTGGAAAAAAAGCTGTGACGGGGCCGACTTAAAAGTCGCTTGATTTGTTGAAAAGTGCATCCGACAAAGTAACATGTAAAAACATTATTATCTGATGCAAAGCTTTTTAATTACTAGATGTCTTAAAACACCGTACGAAAGAATCTGTATGTTAATGATTATTTGGTCGATAAGATTTTTATTATTTTCAAGTCTGAACAGGCTGGCAGTGCAATAGCACTTTAAAATTCTACTTTATACCAATTTTCTAAAATTACTTAACAGTCTATAGGACCTATAGGGTTTCAACCGTGTATGTCTTCCAAGAAAAATTGCAATAGGCCTTTCTCAATACGCGCTGAAGGAAATTATTCACAAGCTTAGACAAAATATATTTATTAAAAAGATAAAACACTTAATTTATACACCTGATCACCTATGGTTGCAACCGTTAGAAAACTGATTATTTATATAAGTAGGTGTTGTTTGACAGCAACAGATCTTACAAAAGTGACGAATCATCCCGAGTTTTGGCTCAAATACTAAAAATGATTGGCTCTCGAAGTTGATTAATAATCAATGACTATCAATAATTAATAAAAAATAAAACAATAATGGCGTTATGTTTTATAATATTTTGTAACCCAAGCAGGTATAACTTAGATGGTTGTTGTTAACTCTGTTTTTCGTGGTTATTGCCTGAAGAATTTACACTTTCATGACACCTATTGACGGAAACTCACTAAAATGAAACAAGCGCAAACTAACCGTTCAAACAGACTCACAAGAAGTCAAATTCCAGTATAGCAATGATAACTACAGAAACGAAAATCTGAAATTCACGCTTAAAAAAACAAATTTGCATGCATATTGCACCCAACTGGGAAATCCGAATTATGGGATTTTCAAGAAACGGATTGACATTTGGATTTTTTGTAGAAGTCATCTGGCAGAGGTATTTTGTTGATTAGAAAATCCACCTTTGTGGAAGATGATTTTCAGAGACATGGATTTTCCGTAACGAAATACCTCTGCCAGGCGACTTTCGATTCAAGTCCAAATATGATTGAATCATATTGAATTTTGCTATCGAGAGTTTCCCTAATGTCATGCATAGTATCACGCCGGAGCGTTTCGTCCATACAGCACTCTTCTCTTCCTTCTACATAAAGCTTGTAACAAGAGCCAAGCTTGCAACAGAGCTGGCCACCTGTTGGGAAACCCACACCTTAGCAGCAGAAGAATTCAAAAGCGAGTTATAGGTGTTCATTCGTTTTTCGGCGTGCTGAAGATTGATTGTAATGAGAACTTTCTGATATTGCACAATTTAAATTTCGCAGCTGTTATATTATTTAGGTACATTGACTGACCTGACGTAAAATCATACCGCTGACATCGTGTACCTTATCTTGAGATCTGTCGCTGACGCTAATTTCCTATATATATTTATTATTCAAATTTGAAGCAAAAAAACAAAAAACAACTCAGACAGAATCTTTCTTCCTTTCCTTCTCTCTTTTTTTCTTTTTTTCTTAGCAATAGGTCCGGCAAAGCAGGATACAGTGTCAATTATATCATATTATATCATCTTTGGAGAAAAACTTTTATTCCGATACCATTGTTTGGAAGCTCATGGAGGAAAAAACCTTGAGAGAGTTCATATATACCATAAAACCGCTCGAAGGCGCTTAATTTCTAGCACACTCGTGTTATCATGCTACCAGATTGATTTTGCCGGATGCCATCTAATGTGAGCTAATATAATATTGACATTTTTCGTTCAGCAATAAATTATACGTGAGTGCATCTTTGTCTCTTTGACACAAAGCGATGTTCGTTTAGGTGCATATTCTATAGCTGTGGAAAAGGTAAAAATCAAACCTTGTACGTATCAATTAAATGAGGCAAGCTTCCGTTTCAATTTTAAAAGCAAAAACATAACCGTTTAGGTGAATTATCCTATCTCATTTCATTTCCTTTACTCAGTTTCGAATCACCTTTAATAAATAATGATGTGGGCAGGAATTTTTAAATTTATAAAGGACTTGATGATGCAAGTGATCACACCATCAAGTGACTGAACGCGTGGTTATGGCAAGAAGCAGAAGGACCAAATATCGCCGGGTTTTCCCTCGCATATTGGCACTTATATTTCTCATTGTACAAGGCGCCGTTTTAGACATTCATTTGATCACCGAAATGAAGACTCCATGGCGGTTCGTATGGATTACAACAGATGTAATTGTGTTGTCCACCTGGATGTACACGATGTGGATGTCGACGAAGAGAAAATCACATAGCGTTAAAACCGCGGTTACCGAGGATGGAACAAAATTTGCTTATATAGCGTGGATTGTCTATGCGTTGCATTTAGTGCCTCAAGTTGCCACTTTATTTAAATTAGTAACCCCCGTCTACAACGATAAAAAAGTAGTTTGTGGACCTAACGTGATAAAAATGAATTTGTGCCTGACGCCAATGTTGTTTTTATTTCTCATTTATGCGCATCAAGACGCAAGATCGCAGTCACGACGAAAATATTATTTGGAGAAGATAACGTCGGCAGTGACCCTGGACTTGTTCGACAGCGTGGAAATGCTGCAGTATCTTTTTGAAAAAGAAAAGATCACACCTGAGCTTGAAAATGCTATTTTGGCGTTCTCCTGCTTGAATATATTTCTACCGACACTTGCCTTGTTTGAGCTCAAATTGAACAAGTTTCATGAAAACGGAGAGGTTCCTCTAATCTCGTTTAGACTTATATACATTTGCGGTTTCATGTTTCTAGCCAATGCACCTTTCTTGGTTTTGAGATTGATATTGTGGCATGGGTATCATCTGGACGTGTCTGTTCTACTGGCTAAAAATGTTCTTGCTGTCATTATGGGGTTTGTTGAAATCGTCGAGTTCTTCGGCCAGCAAAAGCCAAGGAAATGTGAAGCTTGCTTGAGGACATTTGCTAAGGAACATTTTAAGACACACAACAGAATGTGTTTACTTGATCAGAGGTCGAGAGAGTTATTTGATGGTGAAATAATTGATGGAAATCAAAGAATGGATTTAAGTAGCGTAAACATTCAGAAAATGAATGATTTCACTCAGAATGTTTCAGAAAATGGTTGGTCAGTATTTTCCAGAAAGACATACGTTTGAGTGCCATGAACTAAATATTTCTGACTATTTCTCAACTTGTCCGTCCTCTTATCAAGAAAGAAGCTCTTGACCCTTGACTCTTGACGAACTTAGCAATTTTAACCTATTTCCAATCTTTTGTTCCTGTCAAAGACACTTGAAAGAATTGCCGCCTCTCAAATCGACGAATACAGTCTCCATGACGACGGACTTTATGCCAGAATGCACATCGATCGACCTACAGGAAGTATCATAGCACTGAGACTGCATTGATTCGAGTAGTTAACGACATACAGCGTGCTATTGATGATCAGTGCGAGTAATTTTTGGTTTTACTCGACCTTTCCGCCTCCTTTGACACAATCGATCACGAGATCCTTCTTGAGAGATTACGATATCGTTATGGCTTTTCCAACCTAGTTCTTCAGTGGTTCACTTCTTATCTTGTTGAACGTCCTCAACACAGTGTTCGACAAGCTTTCTTCCCAGCCTCGTCGTTTATCACGTGGAGTCTCTCAAGGCTCTGTTTTAGGACCGGTGTTATTTTCTCTCCATATTTCTCCATTGGCTCACGGTTTAAATGCAAAGATGTACGCCGACGATTCTCAGCTTTACATTATTGTGAGACAAAGCAATCGCACTAGTGCTACCGCATTACTGGATCTTGCTCTTTGTATCTAAGATATCATGTCCTGGAATGTTGGTAACATGCTTATAGATAACCCAAAGAAGACTGAAATCATTCACCTCACGTTTTACATAGCACCTGAACCAGTTCCTGCCATCAAGACTGGAGATTGTTCAATCACGCCAAGTAGTGAAGTCAAGGGCCTTGGGGTCACACTTGACCGCCTTTTCACTTTTAAAATTCACATCGAGAACATTTGTCGCTCACTTCACGTTCTATTCACCACATCGGAAAAATTAGGAACTTTCTTACGGAACGTCTTATTCGTGCATTTGTTTTTTTTTAAACTTGATTTCCGCAACAGCATTCTTCACGGCCTACCCTCCTACGAGTTAGAAAAACTACAACGGTTGCAAAATACAACCGCGAGGCTAACTGTTAGAGCAAAAATGTCGGCTTGTCATCACTTCAGTTTGAAAAGTTTACACTGGCTCCCAGTGAAAGAAATAATTATTTTTAAAATTTTCTTGGTCACGTACAAAATCCTCCATGGCTTTGCTCCAGCCTATTTAAATGAGCTGCATCATCGTTTACTACGGTCAAGTAGCTTACCTATGGCAACAGATCCTTCTCAGTTATTGCACAAAAGCTCTGGAATGACTCAACCATTATAATCAAACAGTGTTCCACAGTTGACTCTTTTAAATCGAGATCAAAAACTTTTCTTTTTAACAGTGTTTATGGTTAAATTAGGTAAAGAACTTTTTTTTATTGTAAAAAGCAATGAGACTAACATGCGTTGTAAAATGCGTTTGTAAGCAACTTGTTATTTTTTTATTATTATTTTGTTAAATGATGATTTGACAAGTTCTTTGACTGAGATCCACTTAGAAGGGACATTCCACCAGGGTCTGTAATGAGTCCCCTCCTTTTTAATATTTTTCTAAATGGTTTATTATTTACTGCAAGGTTCCAGTCCAAACTCAGTTTATATGCTGATAATACTAAATTTGTAATATCAGTAAATAAATGATATTTCTCAACTGCGCACTCGTGTACAGGCGTATATCCTTACTGCTAATTAAGGGTTTTGCTTCAATGGTTTAATTGTTAATCCGCGAAAATTTACTGTCATGTAGCTGGTAGGTGCAGGGATACACATAGGGTGCGGAAAAATCCAAATCCTAATCATGAATCCATAAAATCCACACTCTGTGTTGATTCTTTGGATCAAATCCAAATCCGCATTTTTGAGATTCACAATCTGATCGTTTCTTTGGGAAAGGATTTGTAAAAAGTATTTTCGAAAATTGCACTAGTCATCTATTTACATTCGTAGACTGTTTTTAAATTCTTACTATTTTCCAAGTAATTAAAAAAAAAAAAACAATTCATCTGCGCTTTAGTTTTAAATTCTTCTAATTTTATTATCCTAAGGAGTGTAGACCAGTGTATTCTATTTGAGAAACATTTGTGTTTCAAACCGAAATATATTCATTTCGTATATTCATACGTAGTTTATGTTACTTTTCCTTCTTGTCTTCGCCAGATCAGTTTGTTGTTTTTTCCTCTATTCTCCTCATCACGAGGAGCACGAGGACATGCCGTTGTCATGGTAAATGGTCCTCTATTTTTGTGGTAGTGAAGAATCCATATGATCTGAGATCACAAATCCGTTTTTGGATTCTCCCACAAAAACGCACCCCTAGTTTCTTTATAGGCTCTTATGTGATTGCTAATACTGAAGAGATAAAACCTTTGGGGGTCTCGTCAGATAAGGAATTACATTTCTCTAAGCATATTGCAGATATTGTACGTAAGGTTGGAAATCAAATTAAGGTCTTACAGAGGCACAAAAATGTAACTGATGTTTATGCTAAAATGAGATTGTATAATGGTTATCTTTAGCCTCATTTAACTTATTGTCCTACTAAGGCGCAATTCAGATAAACTAGAAGAATTTGGGGCCTGTTTGCAAGGAGGTGGGGGACCTCAGGTAGGTGAGGTAACCCGCTTAGGTGAGGTAACCCGCTTGTTCATATAATCTCTCATTTTAATTGGATCACGTTTACATGATACGTGGGAAGAGATTCTATGGACAGGCGGGTTACCTCACCTGAGCGGACCCGCCTCCATGTAATCAGGCCCTTAATCAACGCGCCTTACTTTTTATTTATAACGATTATGCAAGCACGTATAAAGAGCTATTTATTATTAAACGGTATTACCATAAAACTTAGGCTGTATTTCCAGGAATTCTCTCGTTAACTTCCTACATTTGTTTTTGCAAAGTTTAGATATTACTTACCTTTTATCAATCTAATAATAACTCTGCTGTTATAACTTGTTCAGTCTTCCTGATGTTTCGATGTTGGATTTATTTAGTGTTTGTCTCCGTTGCTAAAAGTAAACTAAAGATAGGTGTAAAACTACCTGCTTCCTTAGAAAAGGATGAAAGAACTTAATTATTTATCTTTTCTCACCGCTTTTCTAATTATGGCGCAGCCTAATTGCGTAATACCATTATCTTTTAGTTTCTTAAATTTAGCACTGTAAATTAACTTTACTTTCTGTCGTTTACCATGTAGCACTTATGTTTACGTTACCCTTGGACATTTGTTTGCAAATATCTCTTTGTTTTATGGTTTTTCTGTCACGCAGGCAGACACTTTTCCCGCCATGTTTTACTTTGTTTCCAGCTTTTCCTCGTACTGCGTATATCTTCCCCCAAACCACTCTTCTTACTATATTGGAAGCTCACGAAGCCGCTCAATTGCAATCCAGTTTACAGGTACTCAACCAAATACTTTGAAACGACTAATACAGGTATAGAATAAGAGGATTAAAAACCAGGAGGCACCCTTTGGTCTATTTGCAGGCATGACTGACGATTTGATTTCGGTAAGACTAAGAAACATTGGCCAGAGAGGGACTCGAACCCAGGACTACTTGATTAAGTCAGACGCGTCAACCACTCGGCCACGCTGCCGCCTAAAAATAGCGGGAAAATGAAAGAGTAGGGTTGCAAAGGTGGGGAAGTGAAACACTCGAGAATTTCATTATTTATCAGTAAATCGTATGCAAGAGAAATAGCGCCGGCTGTAACAGTAACGATTTTATTTACAACATTACTGTGTAAGGGGAAAGTGTTGCGTAATGCCGTTGTCACCAAAAAATTTTTCCATGCACTCAAGAGGTCAAAGGTTTAGCGGTAGTTGTATATGACGAGATTAGTGATATCTTTGAAAGTGAATTACTGATCCCTTTCAGACCCTCGATGTTCTTATCTGGGTTGATTGCATGAGCAGTCAAAGGTTAGCGTATCAGAAACAAATTGGAGAACTATCGGCCAGTTTTGTTTTGTGACGTCGAAATTTAAAAGGAACAATGGGATTATCGTGCTGTTATGGATACGTCAACTGAAAAAAAAACTTATTCTAGATCTTTTAAAACTTTAATGATACCTTAAAAAAGGGTGGGACTCAATTTTCGGATTTATTTTATTCACTTTGTGAAAGGTTTGAACCTGAGAGTCATTTCATAAGTAGGTTGAGTATGATCTTCCGGGTCAACGTAGTCCTGAATAGGACCGTTGTTGACAGTGACTTTGGTACCTAATTCATCTAAAAAGGGGCGAATTTATCTGTAGCATGTACAAAGTAACGTAGCACGTTTTGTTTCAGTTAACTCACTTTAATAACATCGCTTTCAATTTACAACGTCTAAATCTTGAAAGTCAATTTTGAATCACACTTTTGAGTTGTATCATTTCCAGGATTCTGCCTTAGACAGTGAGAGGACACGTGTTCATCTTCAGACCAGTGAAAATCCTTCGATCGATAAACGTGATGTTCGCCTGAATAATCAAAAAAGAAAGAGTTCATTTTGGTCACTATTTCTTTAAAATGTCCAACATTAGCACTATCAAAAAATTAAAGACAAATTCAGACCCTCATGTGCTTTTACAGTTTCACCGGTCGGATGCGTTATTAAGAAATATGTGAAAAGGCCAAGATCACTGCCCGTGAAAACAGTCCGGATATAATCCCTCCCCTTGATTCCCATCAACATGCAAAACACTATGGGCCAAATATTTAAACAAAGTCTAACTGAAGCCGCGGTTTAACAAATCTTTGAACCTCCAGATCTCTTCTTTGGTGGGTTGTTTTAAGAAGATAAATACTTTTCTAGTCTTCTCCAGATGCTTTCATAAAACTGTTCACAATAAATGATGTTTAGATAAAATTGTTGGGAGAATGCGGTTTCG